CGACAGCGAAAACTGTACTGCGATCAAAATATCATAGATTTTCAATTTGTAAAGATTGCTTCCATTGCCATACAATTGAGGGGAGCGCAAGGATGATAAAATGTACGTGCCAACCCTCGTTTGGCCTTCGATACTCAAACTACGATATTTTCATTTATGAAATTATATTTAACTCACTGATACGAAAAAAGAGAGAGAAGAAGCTCAGCTGACCCGAAGTTCAAATAAGGAACCCATGCAAAAAAGAACACAGGTTGCTGCAAACGATGGCTTTCGGGGATCAAATTCGCGCGATAAGACAGAACATCGTTCCGCAAAGCAACGGTTCTCGACGCTGCGCAATTTCCCACCGTCTCCATCTCCGTCATTCCTCTCTCCCAAGATACCCTCACTATACATGGACAAGCATTCCCTGCCCTCCCACAACGGCCTGACGAAAAAGCCGAGCAAACGGATAGCCCGATTCAGACGGACTGGACTCCGCGAGTGAGTGAGTAAGTAATGAAATGAAAAAAAAATTGTATAAATATTAAGAACAAAAAAGCGACAGTCGCTAGTAACGGGAAATGGGCAGGATAAGACTTCTGGTGCGGTTTGCCTGGCTGCCTTCAATGAAATGTACTGTACCTTTGCTGCCGCTGTCGGCGCTGTCCACGGGCTCGCTCTCGCCGTTCTCGTCGCTTCCGGTAGTCGGGGTCGCCACGCTGGAAACGTCCGTTTGCTGAAATACAGAGATGGAATTCGGTGGAATGATGGGTTCTTGCTTGAAATTTAAAACTTGCTACTCAAATGTTTCCCCAGTCCCGGTGTGAATTGGGACTAAATGACGAAACTAAAATTCTGTTCCTACACGTGAATTCATTTACATAATTACAGACATGACATCTCATCAAGGAAAAATTAATTACTGTAATTCATAACAGAGAAGTGAGTCACATTTTTACACCATACGGGAAAAACGAATTGCATAAAACACAAACACAGCATGTGTTATATTATATGCTTCTGAATCGAGTATGTGTCAATGCTGATCGCTCAAGGTCACGGTATGATCGCAGATGCATATTTATAGAGCTAGTTGATTCCTTCCGCGTTTTTAACAAAAACTAGGGCGTTCAGAGGGAGAAACTACGAAACCTCAATTTTGAAAACTGTCAACACTGCATATTGTTATGTCAGATTATGATAGCCTAGTTTAGTTTGGTTTGGTTTCAACTTGGTCAAGCTATTTTAAAGTCCGGTACGTTATCCAGGCAAAATCTGACGGACATTCTTGGAAGCACGGTTGGTCGTTGCAATGATACGAACACAGCATTATTTCTATTTTCGAGTTGAAAAGCAGCATTCCGGTTCAACAGAATATATTCGCTGACCGTTCGTTTGCTGCATAAAAGGTGAGTCTCAGAGGGAAAGTTATTTATAAGAACCGTTTCCATGTAATACATGCCGTTCCCGAAATTCTCGGAAATATCAACCAGATATTACTTCCAGGAGACCGCGCAACTTGGAAAAATAAAATAAAAAAGTAGCGCAAAAAGCATCTGACAAAGTATGGAAAATTTGTAGATATTCCATAAGATTGTCAAAAGGGGCTTTGGAAACAAAGGAATTTCGGTTTCAAAAGACGAAAGTTAATCCAACACTGGATTCATGAAAAGAGCATCCCAACAATATCATCACACAGACGTGACGTCTGGGCTTGTGCTGCAGGTTTTTATTTTATTTTTTATTCGAGTCAATTCTGCCGCTTTACTAAATAATTACAGTTCAGTATATCTTACGGAATTCGCAATTTCCCAGAATGTAGACATTATAACATAAGTGGGCAATCGTGACTTGATTTCATGCGTTCGAAACACATTCTGGAAACTGTGGATCATTCCCCACCTTCATAATCCAGGCACTACTATCGTCCATCAAATGTTTTCACTCATATACAGAACGGCAGTGATTATAAAACGCACCCTGAATTTCGAAGGGGCAAACGAAGTAATCAACGAATGTAATAAACATCTAAAAAGTTTGATCACAATGAACTCCTCTGAAAAATATGAATTCTTTGATACCGCTCATGATTACCAAGAAACCATCTTCATGCATTAGAAAGGAAGATGTATGTGGATTCTCAATATTGCGTACTTGAGCTGCGAAGTTAGCAAGGACTTATTTGATTAAAGGATCGAATTTGATTTATATTAAAAAGATTGTCTTTTTCCAGAAGTCATAAGTCACGTTACTTACAAATATGAGGCACTATCGAGCATATGAAATACAGCACATTCAATTTTTAAACCGATTATTGCGAGAGAGAAAATGCTCATTGAATTCCATCAAATGCGGCGAGTCTTTTGATTTCAAGGTCTTCGGTCCATCTATTCAAGAGATATCTTTCATTCTATTTCAGCGTCTTTCTTTTTCTGATCAAGGAACTTTGAAAATACCCTTTCACGGTACAGCATTTCAATTTCCGGAACACCATCACGAATAAGATCGAAAAATCCTCAATTTCAGCAAAAGGGATCTCACCTCGATTCTCGTCGCTGGCGGGCTCGTACCCCGGGAAGAAGCAGCGTCACCGTCGTCCACGTCACCATTGCACGACACGGGCGTCGCGCTGCCTCTGGATTTGTCTTCCACATCCACCTCCATCTCTTCCGTGTGGTTCTGCCCGTTCACCGAAGGGTGGTTGCCTTTACCGGCGGCCATTACTGCCGCCCCGGTGGCCGCTGGGCGCCGTTTCTGCTCCTCCGCCTTCAGTTTCCGCACGCTGTCATCGCCACTGAAAGATAATAAAATAGCAGAGGACTCTTGTCAGCATCGACGTACGCATTACACGAGGTCCAGTATATAAAAATTCGGATCGACCCAAGTTCATTCACGACAAGTATTCTGCATTCCAATTTTGTTTCCCGATGAAAAAATAACGACTTGAGAGCTTTGTTAGAACATTAACTGTACTTGCACTGTACATGGGAATGAAGTTCTTCGGGCACCGAAGTTTTATTGGGAAAATCCTTCCAAACATCTAAACAATGCGGAACTGAAAACAAGGATGACGCGAGTCTCCGTCCATTTGTCAATAATTTCTTCCAATTGAAGCCCTGAATTTATTGTTCACCAACTGATATTGTGGAGTAATGTCAACATTTACCAAAAACACATTTTTATTCACATTGGAAATTGATTTTTTTCAACATATAAAAAAAAGATTGGATCAATTTTTGTCGTGGCTTCATTGAAACGCATCTCGTATTGCCACCTGCAGATTCATGAAGAATTGGCATGTAGCAGGTAAACCGTATTTCTGCACAGGGATGGAGTGCAATTTCAACTCCCGCTATCTTGCCGTTTATTAGGCTGATGGGAGGTCAGGAAATCATCAAATGATTCTGTAGAACTAGGTCAACTCCATATATCCAACAAGACCTCAACAATGAAAGTACAAAAACTTATGAACCTACCCTCATACATATCCGTGGAATTATCGCAGAGAGTTTAGAGTATTTTCTGCGGAAATATTTTTAAAACTCACCAGAATCAAGTCCTGAGTGAATCGTTGCTCCAACTACAGTACAGCATATTCAATAAAAAGTACAACCCGTTTAGGCATTAAAAAAGAAGTCCTGTCGCTTATACAAGTGGACTTCCTCTACAATTGTCTACAACGATTTTCTCTGCACAACGAACTATATTTTGTGGTCCCATAGGGTTCTCTCCCCATGTTACAGGAGTTCTCTACAACGAAATTCTCGCAACACATAATTTTATGGTCCCTTGAGATTCGCAGTAGAGAGAGAAGGATAGATTTGAAGGAGACTTCAGGCATGACTAATTCCTCTGAAAGCACCGAAGATCATTAAGGGGTAATTCGTTATAGATTCCGATTTCATGATATACCGCGAAATGCATCATTTTTGAATCGATTGTGAGTGTTTCCACGGAAATTTCTTGTGTGCCGAAAGGTACTGAAATTCAAGGCCTTCGAGCAGGGGTAATTCGTTATAGATTCCGATTTCATGATATACCGCGAAATGCATCATTTTTGAATCGATTGTGAGTGTTTCCACGGAAATTTCTTGTGTGCCGAAAGGTACTGAAATTCAAGGCCTTCGAGCTTCTTCGGGGAGCATAAATGCGAAACACAGGCAGACAACTTGGGGCAGGCTTGACGAGGAAACTTATGTGGTCACACGAACCCCATCAGAAGCAGCATCTTCTGCAAAAGATGTGCAGTCGCCTTGAACTGAGTTATAAAATCCCACGTTCATCATACAAACGACGTAGTTCGGATTACAGCATTTAAAATGCATGGCAATCATTTTGTTGCGTAGTCGAAAGATGCGAAGGGCGAAACATTCGGTTTGCGGGTACTGTAAAATCTTCCAGGAAAATTATGTTGCTTCCCCACTATCCGCGAAGCATTCCCCAGCACCCAAAGATCTTTAGATTATTCGAAGACTTCGCCTGATCACAAGACAGAACCATCTTACGTCAACTGCTTTTAGAGAAATGCATTATACAGTAATTCATCGATTCAGTTGCAATACTATTTAAGCTGAAAATTTCCTTTTGTGGTCTCAACAGTGAGGTCAATCTACTCGACTGAAAATTACCGACAGATGAATATTTTACAGTTGATAGCCACAAGGATTTAAACAAGGAAAAGCTCGAGTAAACATCGACAGCGACTGACTCACGAAATCCCACTGTTTTTTCCGCAGCTCATCAAATTTTTGGCAACGTTGCAATGGATATACAAACAAATTTAAAAAACACAGAAATGCACATTCCTTCACCAGGGCGCAATCTTATCTCGTAGCTTATACACTAACCTAACCTAACATAATAGGGTTAGCTAACTTCATAGATCGCATAATTCTTCTTGAAAATGGGGTAAAACATTCGATTTCAACCAACAAAATCTTGAAAACGTATCCGAAAATCCGTCATTCAATGAAACTAAGGAATTAATTCTACAGATTACGGCGACACTGTACTGCAATGAACAATAAAATGTCTTTTCCGAAAACACACAACGAAATATGTCATCAAGAGGACGAGGACGTATTATTATAGGATAGGTCTCATTTCCAAAAGAGAAAACAATTTCACGAATCACCATCATCACTTTTTCACTCGATGTTTTTGAGAGGGTAAGTAGATTACAGTGCATACTTTTTTGTGGAGTATAAACTTGAGAGCGGCGTAGATTGAGGATAAATGAGTAGATATCGTACTGTACTTGAAAAAAAAGGGCGGTTGGGAAAAACAACAGCCAAGATATCGAGAAATTGAACCACGGGAATTAACTGAAGTGCTTGCGGGAGACATATTTTCAGGGAGCGAATGCTTCCGGAGTAGGACATGCTTTAAAAGCAGTGTCTGATATCATTCCTAAGAATTGTTTTCATGGAAACAGAATAAAGATCAGACGACGTAAACAAATGAGAAATATCTGGATAAAAATAAAACAAAATTTGCGTCGATAAAAAACTAGCAAGATATTGCGCGAAATTTTTTTCAAAAAGTCTCCATCTCTCGTCTAGTTCAGAATGACTAACCAGATCATAAACAAAAGCTGTCCGAAGAATTGAAGTAGGGTTTCGCAAAATGTATTGCGCTTCTTCAGTTTTAGTCAAGATAGCTTCATTTTAATTTGCTCGATCAGCCACAATGTCATTCTGAATCACTGCCAGCGCTTAATGAAGTTTTTCCTCGTATCCAATTCCCTGGAGTCATTTACAGACTTTCGAAGTCGAGTAAACAGTAAACTTGATTTTACCACTTGCTCCTCCACACTCGGAAGAAACGGTTTAGCTTTCACATTTTAGCAATGGAATTAAAGGATTTCGTTTCAGTTGAATAAGCAATTCCTTCACGGTTTCACCGACGGTATAAGCACGGTGAAACTGCACGGAGCATCAACAAAAGGTTGGGTTATTTGAAGAAATTTTCCTTCACATTCTTGAACTTAAAATGGGCGGCTGAATATACAGTTCTCAAGTAGAATGACCGAACTTCTGATGAAATTCCACGCAGATTCAAATAATTTCTAGCAGTGAGCATTTCAAAAAACCCCCGCTAATTCTTCTCCGAGTTAAAACGCAAATCCTTTCCCAGCGATGGAAAACTGTATCCTCCGCGCGACCCCACGTGCTGCTTCATGGGAAACCCGACACGACGAGGATACCAGGAATCGTCGCCGAGAACCGGGAGAGCCTCCATGTTCTTCCTTCCTTCCTTCACCTCACAGTCCAGGTGCGGGGTGCATTACTGAATTCGTGGGAAACTCTCCGTAAACCCCTACGGGAACACAAGTTCTCCCCACATGGTGTTGGGGACAAAGGTCGCCACAACAAATTAGAAGAGATTTGTAGAAAGATTTGAAGTTTGAAAATGAAACACGGACTCAGCCCGGGACTGGGGCCGGGAATCCTCGGTGAGATTCCTCAAGTTAAAGTTTTAAATATATTTCAGAATGTCCCAAAT